ATCATTAAAATTTAGTCTTAATTGATGTACACTTTTAAAGGGTTCACTGAGAAATATTAGAATCAGATGACTACCTTTTATTTCTAATTTGGTACACGGTAGGAATTCAATAACCACTTGTAAAATAAAAGAGCGAAATCTATTTTTTTTTTTTTTTTTATCCTCACCCGAGGATATTTTTCCATTTTTTGTACAGATAGAGTGGGAGGGAGAGAGAGAGAGAGAAACATCGACGTGAAGGGACACATCGAGTGGCTGCCACCCGCACGACCAACCAGGGCCGGGGACAAACTGCAACCGAAGTACATGCCCTTAGTGGGAACCGAACCGGGGTCTCTCCAGACCGCAGGCCGACGCTCTAACCGCTGAGCCAAACTGGCCAGGGCAAAAGAGCGAAATCTAAATGTGTAACACAGGAGAGATTTCTAAACCTAGTCTCTTTATTCCAGTATCTAATATGTGGTCTTAAATCTAGATGCCAGAGATATATAACCTCATTTTTCGTGTAACACTTTTTCCATTCACTTCAATGTATATACATATAATTATATTTTAAAAGGATCAAGCAATAAAATTTCTCTAACATCTCTATACCACTAAACATCAAATTATCTTAGTCATATTTAACATATCTTTAATAGCAGACTTTTTATTAATATTTCATTTAAAAGAAGATAAAGTAATCTCCTGAAGAATATATGTTTTAAAATTACTTTGAGAATGACAAAATCTTTAATTATAGCTATATCCTAGTTTGTGGTTTATTATTACTATTGCCTTTTAGGAATGTTTGATAATTTTTAAAAATTATATTTGAATCACTTTCAAAGGATTAGATTAAAGTTGTACTGGTTCACCCAAACATCAGCTTGCCAGCAATTATTAAATTAAACATGACATTTCTCTGGTACTAGTAGGTCTTACTAGTCTTAACTGTCATTAAATAATAGAAAAAGGAAATAAATGATTAATTGGAAAGCTTTTGCTTTTAAAGAAAGTCATAAAAAACCTAACTTAATTGATTTCTGGAAAAATATCAAGATAATCTAAGTTTTATTTCTGAAGTAGTATTAATCTGGCTTTAATACTGAATTCAGTTAAAGAAAGACAATAAATCTTTGTACAGTAGGAGCTTTCAGTAAGTGTATATAGAGGTTGACGTAAATATTTACCTATATTTTGAAGGGATGAAATGCAGTTACCATTTAGCTTATTTTTCTAATGGTTTAGTATAGTTCTAATTTTTTATTTATATTTGCAAGTTTAGAAATTGGTCATCATAACTTATCTTTATTAAACTATTGCTCAGTTATACAAATAATACATAAGTATATTGTCTGTAATATATTAGGTGTGATTTTATATTCTTCTGAAGTGTGGTTTCTTAACTCGCCAGTTACAAGGGTCCATTGTTAGAAGATGGCGCTCTGTCTCAGGCAGTCTCTGCTGGAGCCAATTCCCCTGAGTTTACCAAACTCTGTGCTTGGCTGGTGTCTGAATTAAGAGTGCTCTGTAAACTGGAGGAAAATGTGCAAGCAACTAACAGTAAGTAAACATTCCGTTTTAGGTGCAAAATAAAAAAATAAAATTTGGGTATTATCAGCGGAACTAAAGTTAAAACTTAAATTGCTCTGTAAATAAGAAATATGTAAAGCAACCGAACACTTTACCTCCATTGTCTTTAGAGAAAGGCGATTCAGAAGTTGAAAAACCAAAATATAGTCATGCAACAGTTAAACATTTGTGGAAATTGAAAAGACCCTGTTATTCAGACATGGAAAAATGGAGACAAATAGAACATGTATGAACTTTCCATTCTTTGTAAAACTTGACTTGTGAGATCTTAAATTGGTGGCTAGCACTAGGAATTAGGGTATTTTTCTTTTTTGGACTACCAGATTCTAGAAGTACATATGGCATGTAAAGTAAATGCATTGTAATTGTTATATGTAAGGAGAAAGAGAACACTTTATTAAGAAGTTTTCTGTATCATAAGAATTTATCACTAGATATACCACCACCAGATCCAACACGGTCAGATTTATGGCATTTAGAGCTGTTTTATATTTGCCAATTTTGTTATTGTTTTAGCAATAACAACTATTGTTTTGTTGATTTTGCAAGAAATGGGGGGATTGGAACCTGACACTCCACCACCTGGTTCCCTCCTACTATAGGTAAACCTATAATAGGAGACAAAGAAAAATGCCCACCTGTAACCCACCCTGAAGGAGAACTATACACATAATCCCATTTTCTTTTTCACAGAATTCCATTGTGAAGCACTCATGCTTGCATGTTTGGTATATTTAATGTTTATGTTAATTGCACCCAATTCTAATTTCTAAGGAGAGTATAGTACATCAGTAATAATAGCAGCAGCTTGTATTTATTGAGCACTTAATTATGTTCAAAGTACTTTACTGGTTAACTCATTTAAACCTCAGGGCAGTCCTAGGAGGCAGGTCACTTGATACATTAAATAAGCAAACACAATGGGGTTAAATACATCACCTGAGGTTATACAACCAGTGAGTGATAAAGGCAGGATTCAACCCCAGCAGTCACATTTGGGAGCCAGAGCTCTTAGCATTCATTGCCTTTGAGCATATTTCAGAGGTCGTAAGAACTTTTGAATAAACACCTGTGCTAGGTGGTGACTGTTTTTAACCTGGAACCCCTTTGTTCATTTGAAAACATTTTATAGATGCCAGTACATAAAACGTAAAAGTTTAGCTATTGTAAGTTGAAGTTGGAAGGGAGTACTTTCAGCACAACTCTCTCCTCATCCTCCCAGCTGCCTCTACAGGAGTTCTGTGGAACTCTGGTGCTCACAGAACACAGTTTGCAAAACACTGACAATACAGTCTTCCTGTTTTATAGATGAGAAAAAGGTCAAGGGTCTGTCCAAGGTTGTTAGTTAATTTTTGTCCCTCTGTGATATTGAATAGAGCCATCAGAATAGTAAAGAAAAAAGAGCATTGGTTTTCCTTGGTTCACCCAGTGAACTCTGTCCTTCGCATGTTAATGGGAATACAGAACTACAAGTCATGTTCAGTACCTACAAAGTTGGAAGCTAGAAATATCTGGCACAGACGAAACAACTGGATATTAGTAGTAATGAAGTGCTTCACATTGTGGATCACAGGGGAGATCATTAGTGCGATAGTACTTGGGAAGGTTTCATCAAGGAGCAACACCACTGGACTTGGATGGATAGGTGGGATTTGATAGAGGAGGGGAGGAGAGAGGGCATATCCATGACGGGGAATGACTGACATGAAGGCTCAGAAGTGGAAATTAGGCTGACCCAGGACAGCGATGAGACTGACCTGGCACAAATAGAGGGAATATTTGTGCAAGTGGTAGGTAACTACTTCAAACATAATGATTTCCTGGGAAGGGCCAAAGCAGAGAGGCTGTGAAGATGCCTTGGCTGGTGTTGCTCAGTGGTTAGAGTGCCGGCCCGCCCACCGAAGGGTCTTGGATTTGATTCCCTGTCAAGAGCACGTACCTGGGTTGCAGGCTCATGCCCAGGCCAGATCAGGGTGCTTGCAGGAGGCAACCAATCAACATTTCTCTCTCACATCCATGTCTCTCCCCCGCTCCCCTTTTCCCTCTCCCCCTCCTCCCCTCCCTTCCACTCTCTAAAAAAAAGAATCAGTGGAAAAAATATCCTTGGGTGAGCATTAGCAACAACAACAACAACAGAAGAATCTTTAAAGACAGAAAAATTAGACTAGGTGAGGTAGAAATTAGAAAGCCATTAAAGATTCTCAAATAAGAGAATAACCTAATGAAGGTAAGAAACAAAATTGTCAGTGGCGTGAGAAAGAATGAATCAGAAGAAAAAGGAACTTACGTTAGGAAAATCTTAACTTTCAGTGTGTGTGTGTTAATGGGAGAAACAGTCATTTTTATTAAGTAAGATTATTTTAATTCTTAAAAGGCCCAAATGAAGCTGAAGAATTCCAGCTTGAGGTGAGTGGGCTGCTAGGGGAGATGAACTGTCCCTATCTTTCACTGACTTCTGGGGATGTGACCAAGCGCCTTCTGGTTCAGAAGAACTGCCTCCTTTTGCTCAGTAAGTTCATGGCTACTAGAATGTAGCTATTATTTCCTATTTATGTTTTCTATGACTAATAAACTAGTTGTTGTTATTTTGTTTCGCTATGGATTTAATTCAGAATACTACTTATTTTAAAGAAAGCTTGATTACATTTCCAGCTTAGAAGCTCTTGGTGGGTCTGTGTACTGGTAGCAGAATTGTGTTGTGATTGCTCCTCTTATCATTTCACTGGTGGTACTCAGGCCGCTGTGCTCCACCTCTGTGACCACAGGTAGTGCTGGAGCCTTTTTCTCGTGTGATCACTGGACCGTAGCATTCGAGGCTGGAAGCACCTTTTAAAATAGGTGCTGGGAAAATAGTGTGGGATAATGAAGTTTGGGTTTTGTTTTTTCTAATTTAAAGTATTTTTGTCTTGTTGATGTTTCTTTGTGGTTGGTTGGTGTTTTTTTGTGGTTGGGTAATTGTTTAGGGGTGTTGGTTTTGTTTGTAAAGGTAAAATTTTCTGCAATAATATTTGCTTTGTTCCTGTACTAACTGATCATTGTGGGAAATAAATTATTATAAAAAGTTCTTTCCTTCCATGTTTTTCTATACTAACTACTGTTTCTCTCTTCACACTGAAAAACAGTAAGTAGATTCACAAATTTTGTTTGCTCCAATTAACTCAACCTATAGTCTTAACTCAGAATTTCTTTAGCCTTCTGAGACACATTTAGATTAAGCTTTGGTTAACTGAATAGTATAATTTTTATTATGACGAACACAAATCAGAGGATTTTAAAAATATTTGTCTTTACAATCGTACCATGGTTTCTAGAAACTGCTACAACTCTAATTTTGAAGGTTTAATTTAAAAATAATGTGTTCATGGCCATTATACTTAGGTAGTAATTATTCCAGAATCACTTTCTTTCTTTCTTTCTTTATTTTTTTAAATATGGAACACCTCACGAATTGGTATGTCATCCTGCACACGGACCATGCTAGTCCTTTCTGTATTGGTCCCGTTTTAGTGTATGTCCTGTCAAAGCGAGCACCAGAATCACTTTCTTAATTTCTCCTTTGTCAAATGATTGTTACTGGGGGGATATGCCCAGTAGCAGGATTAGATACTACGTTAGATACTGATATCACTGCATATATTTCTTGTGCAAGCATTCAGTAACCTTCAGATCGTGTGATTTCTGTAACGGGCTCAGCCACAGTGTGCTCAGTGATTCCTCCTTGGCGGCACTGTTTATCTTTACCAACACCTAATATTTGGCACTTAGAATGTGTTATCTTACATAGGAAGACAACAGCTGTGTGGAAAGGTTAGTAATAACCCTGAAGAGCAAATTCTTCCTTAGAGCTCAGAGTTTGCCTTTTTAGTGCTGATTCTTATCAAAACCACTCTGAATATAAATCTTTATAACATACCTTTAATTCTTTCTTCTTTATTAAGCACTGCACAGAACATGACTATTTTGGATTCAGGGTCAGTATTAATAGACTGTTTTAATGTGCTGTCACCTCAAAAGCTTTTCAAGAATATCCAACTATTTGCTCCTCAACTAAATGACTGCTATCTAAAGTTTACTCTGCTCTTTAGTTCTTCACACACTCACACATACACACTACTCACTTTCTCTTTACCTTGGCTGTTCCCCCTTTTCTACAATACTCCCCTTGATTTATTTCCTCTCTTCCATGCTAATGTTTATGTACATGTACTCATTCTCTACTTGCTCCGTCTGAATATTTCTCGTCTTCCCAAGTATCAGTTGTCAGATCTTGATGCTGTAATTTTACTTCTTCCAGCATCCTTACCTTACTGATTTGAATCTTTTATTACACTGTGTTATGAGGGGGAAAACATAAACCAGCCTCATTGAATTGTTCATAAAATAAAAGTCTTCCATTGAGTGGCTGCAAAACTCTCGTGTGTCAGGTTAAGAACTATTTTAGCTGTCATTGGGCTTTTTGGTTGTCAGAACATTTCCTTTAGGTAAAATAAGTCCTATTTAAGTTTCTAATAGATGAAGAACTATTCATCTTTTTATGTATTTATTCTTTCTTCCTCACTCAACTGTCAGTAGAGGTAATGTTTTTTGTTTGTTTTGTATTAAATAACCAGTCAGTGCCTTTCCCAGTACTTGGAATACATCAGCTACAGTTAATGCTTTTTGATGGTAATTGTATTGGTGAACTAATTTTGTGAATACCTGAGCCACGTTGTCCTAAATTTAGGGAACAAATTTATTAAATCATATAATATATGATTTTTCTAGAACAAGGGTTGGCAAACTCTTTCAAGGGCCAGATTATAAATATTTTTAGCTTCATGGCCCGTAAGGTCTCTGTCACAACTCTTAACTCTTCTGCTGTAGTGTGTAAGCAGTCATAGACGATAAGGAAGTAGATGACTGTGGCAGTGTTCCAATAAAACTTCGTTTATAAAAACAGTGATTATTTTCATGACAGTGCGGTTTTACTGGTTTGATCTTTTAACTTGTACAGTATGGAACACGTTCAGATTTTATCAAACCCATTTAGCATGACCTTTCCAGAAACTTAGCTGTATTTATTGTTCTAGAATAGGAATTGGCAGTGTTTCAGAAATGATCTGCCAAAATTATAATCCCTATACTTCTAGCATTACACCTTGGATATAGGAAATGAGATATTCAGGCTGATCATTCTTTTGTGCTTCTAAACTTAAGAGCCCAGAAAATGTCTTTTTTCAAAATTATCTTTCTAGTATCATCAGGGGGTTCTCACTTTGTCACATACCTGAAATCCTGAGATCCAAATGATTACTAATCATCTTTTATAAAAATGTAAATGCCCTTGGGAAGGTTAAAGGAATAAGATTGAATATTTATATCTTCACTTTAATTACCTGAAGCAGATTGCAGCCCTCATTATACCTGACTGAAATCAACACAGACAAGATGATACTGATACAAAAGGACTCTGCCAGGAAATCATTTGCAAGTTTTCTTGTTTTCTCGAGAGGGAACGAGAATGAAGACAGTAGGGGGAAGGGAATACTGAGAAGAAATATAGATGGAAGACCGGGGCTTATTTTGAACAGCCAGAGGGTACATTAGGCTACTGGAGACCATAAGAAAGGAACTTTTGGGAGGTTAGTGCCTTCCCCCTTCTCTTGTAAGTTAAAGTTGGACTACTTAAAAATGTTGTTTCACTCCAGTTCTAAACAGATTTCTTAAGTATTGGAAGGTAAGAGGAACAGATAGTTACATCACTGGTGCATGTCAGTGGTAAAAAGTTAAAAAAAAATAACCTTTTTAACTGTCAATGAAAAATTGCCAACTGCCACCTTTTGCACATTTGTCAACAGATGCCAACCCCTGTTCTGTAGGTTCCTTAATAGTGGAATACAAGAATCCAGATTTTTAGATGTGATCTACCTTGATCTTTTGGTTTCAAAGAAGACTCGCTTATTTTTAAATCAATTTTTAAATATATATTGGTTAAATACCTGAATTACAGAACCAGTTTATATGCTATATCATTTGAGGTAAAAATGGTTTTTCTTCCTTGTTTTTATCCATTCTTGCAGCTTTAAAAGTTACATATCATTAGGTCTATAGAGTTGTGACTCCAGACTTATGACTATTAACTGTAGCTGTATCTCATTTTGAAATCTTATTTTGTTTACTTCAGCATACCTCATCTCAGAACTAGAAGCTTCCAGAATGCTCTGTGTGAATACTCCTCCAAAAAAAGCTCAAGAAGGAGGCGGTAGTGAGGTCTTTCAAGAGTTGAAAGGCATATGTATTGCTCTAGGAATGTCCAAACCTCCAGCCAATATAACTATGTTCCAATTCTTCAGCGGGATTGAAAAAAAAGTAAGACCTTTAGTACCAGATTGTAGTGTATTAAAGGCATAGTCCTACATTTGTTTGAAATGAAGCAAGTTTATTTCTCTTAATGGGAACCTGATGTGCATATTATTAAGTAATTGTTACTAAATGAGTTTTGGGTTTTAAATCCTAGATGCCTTAAAGAGAAATTAGTATTTTAGTGTTTCTTTTAACATGTTAGCATGTTTCTTTTTCAAAAAGGAAACTTTACACTTTGATTTATAAACTGAAATAAGCTAGATATAATGTAAAAAGAATTAAGTCCTTATAAAAATGACTTATTGAACTTTAATGCAATTAATTTTTAAAGTCTATCAGTAAATGTTACCACCCTTCTCCCCATTGACTGGACAGAAAAGGATGTTAATGTTCTTGGTTTCTAATCCACTCACTTTGAGTTTTAGAAGTTTTGATTGACAAATTAGATTTCTTGACTGCTAACATAAATCTAGTATGTGAAAATAATTTATGCCACACATTATCTACAATGAAGAGATTTTTTATAATTTATTAGGAACAAGCAATTTTAATAAAAAAAATTAATGAATAAAAGAGAATGATATTTGTTATAGCAGAGTTACTCTCTGCATATCTGCTGGACTCTCTAAGAATTGGTACATTTGCATTGTGGGGCAGAGGGACACCGTGATGCACAAATCTGGCTGAACTCTACAGGGGAGCAGCAGTGTATCCATAGTTCCTATTTTCTGTGTGTTCATTCATCCATTCAGGAGATACCCATTAAGTGCCTACCATTCGCAGGCACTGTCGTAGGTGCAGTGAAGGGATCATGCTTCCATAGGCACATGAGGAGTGGGCCAGTGAGTGTCTTTATTGTGTGGGTCTTGTACATTTCAAAACATCCTCCACCTTTGCCTCTGTCAGGAATCTTCTTTTGATGGCAAGATATGATGGGACTTGGGAAGATGAGGAGGATATGTGTTACTTTTAGTTTGTTTATTCATTCATTTATGTTTTTGTGTCAGTTAAAGGAAACATTAGCAAAAGTTCCACCTAATCATGTGGGAAAGCCTTTATTGAAGAAGTCAATGGGACCCGCCCACTGGGTGAGTAGCGATCATCTGGAGTAAATTTGCAAGGAACCATCCATCTCTTTTATGATATTTATATCGACCCTTACAGTGGTGCTTTTTAAGTTATATTTTCTAATACGTAGTTTCCTAGGTAGACATCCTTAGAATCACTTTTGTGAATCTTAAGATTTATGCAGCATAATTTTATTTGTATAAGATTAGAAACACTTATCTCATAATCGTAAATATTTCACACAGCTGATTAAAATAAATAGAAGTTCAGTATGATGCATGTTTCTAATTGCCAAATGGGTTGCCTTCGAGCCAAAAACGTCATTGGGCTGAGCTTCACACAATGGATTATGGGAAAGCTAAATGAGAATTTTGTACTTTACATATTTTTATTATGTTTTGAGACATTATTTTGCATATCATTTCCTTAATCTATTATGGCTTCTATTATTATATTTATTAAATATATTTTATGCTAAGTGCTGGGCATCACTTATGAATGAAACAGGTAAAGTTTCTGCCCTTTTGGGACAGGGGTCAAGCAGACTTAAATTCTAACTCCTTAAAAAAATTTTGTTTCAGGAAAAGATAGAAGCAATTAACCAAGCCATAACCAATGAATATGAAGTTCGGAGAAAGCTGCTAATAAAACGTTTGGATGTCACTGTCCAGTCTTTTGGTTGGTCTGACCGAGCTAAGGTACACTTTGAATAATTTAAAAGAACAGAGTATTTATAGACTTGATCCTTAAGCATTCCTACTACAGTTTAGATGTAGAGGAGACTATAAGAGAAATGAAATACATAGGAAACATACACAAACCTTTCTTTAGTGAGTTGCTGAGTAGGAATTCTTTCAGCTATTTAGTAATAATGAAAACATTTATTTTTCAATTTTTTAATATTGTTCAAGAAAACAGTATGTTACAGACCCTACTGGAAGTACCCATTTGTGAGAGAAATGAAGAGAGTATCTGAAAATTACTAAAATAATAAAATTTTAAATTATTTTACTATAGTTTAAGCTAACAATTTCTTAGACTTAGAAGGACCAATATTATTATCTATAGAATTGGACAATAAGATTTATTTCAGCTTAAACGAGATAATCCAGGTAAAGGTC